ATTACAGATGGAAGAGATCACAAAGATGATGTAATCTGGCTACTTCTTTTTACCAGTGAGAATCTCTAGCAGAGAAGTTGAAGTGTCTCTCCTAGGTCAGATCAGTAGTTAGTAGTAGGAAAAAAGTAATAGCAGTCCAGCGCTTTTTCTACATGAAAATGTAAGTATTATTTTAAAATCTACATTATTTGGCAGAGGACGTATCAATCATAAACAACTGGCTAGTTTTTATAATACTGTATTATCATCACTACTGAAATTTAATACTTGTAACAATTGGTTATATAATGCGGTTATGCATCATTGCTGCTCTCAGTTATATCCTGTATGTCTGTTTTGGACCCAAATCTACATTGTGACTGTGGTAGGCACGTATTTTTAATGTTCCCTATATCCCTCAATAAATATACACACATATGAACCACATAACAGTTGGAGAGAGATTGACAAAACTATACTTACAGTTTAGACTAATACTCCAAGACTCAAAATGAAACGGAACAGTTGTCATTCTGTATGGCTGCAGGTGAGTTTGTTTTGAGAGGGAGAAAGTCGAGATAAGTCCTCATTTCTTCTTATCAAGCAGTTGGGATTGTCCCTGATGCTGAGTCGTTTTAGGAGTTTGAGGAGATTGGTAAAGGCTGGAATAGAAATTAGAGGGAATGATGAGATCGTTGACTAAGCCTTAAGACATGTGGTAAAATATGCCAATCAAATTGCTCAATAAAAACAGTAGCTAATAATGACCAAGGAGTGATGAGATGTCTGGCACTCCTTTCAATACTCTGACGGTAGTAAATCATCGACACCTCACAACCACCCCAAGCACTGACCCCATTTTGTGGGTGAGGAAATTGAGGCGCACAGAAGTTTGATCATCTGCCCAAGAAAACCAGCTCCTGAGTGGTGGAGCCAGGGCATATGCCCCTATTCACAGTATAATGATCAGGATAAAACCAGTTAAGTAGAGTTGGCCCTCTCTATCCTCGGGTTTCTAGCCCCAGAATTCAACCAATTGCAAATAAAAAATGTTACATTTTTGCTGACGTGCACTGTGTATTTAGGCCATGATGGTTGCATCTGTACTGAACATGTACAGACTTTTTTCCTTGTCATTACTCCCTAAACAATACAGTATAACTATTTACATAGCATTTACATTGTATTAGGTATTATAAGTAATCTAGAGGTGATTTAAAGTATACAGGAGGATATGTGGGGTTACTTGCAAATATAATGCCATTTTATATAAGGAACTTACTTGAATATCCTCAGATTTGGATGTGGGGGGTGGGGTGGGGGAAGTCCTGGAACCATCCCCCAGGAAAATTGAGGATGACTGTATGCAGTGTTTAAAACAGTCTTCATATTTATTTACCCTCCCACTCCTTAATCCCCCAAACACACACATACTAGTACATAACCACACATTCCCACACACTCAAGTCTTACTTCTATTCATATACTCTTCTTCCTCATAGGACTTAAGCTCACATATGCACAAGGAGTCCTAGGGCCAACCTCCACTCTCCCACATTTCTTCAAGGTAAACGTAAAGACAAGCTAATACTGACTCTGGGTTACAAAACACACGCGCGCACATAGCCCAACACACAGCAGAATTCAACTCAATAAGGATTTTTCTTCTCCCATCATCCAGGGAAATGCATGAGTTACCACGACAGATGCCAAAGACATTTGGCTCTGGCAGTGGAAACTGGGAGGCGATGGTGAAATGAGGTAAGAAATTCCAGGGCCAGAAGGTGGACGCAGGTCATCAGCTGCTTTTCCCTGGAGCTTGCTCTCTTGGATAAGCGCTACAGGAACAGGGCCCCACCGTCGCTGAACCCGGCTGGGGCCGCAGCAGATGCACACACCGCGGGGAGTCTCATTGGCAAGATCTGAGTGCTGCCTGGCTCTGTTTGAATGCCTGCCGCAGGGCCCGGGAAAGGGGTTTTGTCAGAAATGGTGAACCCTGAGAGCCAAGCTTTCTCTGCAAAGACTAGGCAGCCCAGGAGCAGCGAATCGTGACTTGCAGCGTGTTTAATGGCTCTTGGGAAAACAAGTTTCTCTCCTCCTGCCTGCACTTCGCCGCCCGCTCCCGCAGCTCCGGGGGGAGGTCCAGACAGACTCTAGCTGCGGGACCGGGACTGGGACACTGGCAGCGCCGCCCCAGGGCCAAGGGGAGGCTCCAAACGGCCCCTCTCTGATCCCAAGGGTGGGGTGGGCCCCGATAAATACTCTTCCTGGCCAGATTGCGGGAAGGCCAAGTTCAAACGCAGGGTGTCCAGCCTGGGGTAGGTCCGGGAAGGAAGCCGAGAGATCCGGCCAGCCTCCCCCGCCCGCAGCCGGCGCAGTGTAGACTCTCCAGCTACCCTTGGAGCGGGAGCTGGAGCCGGGTTACTGCGCATGCGCTCCGGGTTCCACCTCCACCCCCATCGCGTTCCCAGGCCGCGCTTCCAAAGGCCTCCGTCGCTTAGCAACGCTGAGTCACAATCGCGGCTCCGAATGCCCTTTTCCTGGCAGAGCTTAGTCCCTGATCGACCCCTGAGGCTCCTCGCTGCCTCATGTCAGGTCTTAGGAGCCCATGGAGGCAAAGGAGGATAAGCAGCAGTAAGTGCTGGGGTTTGATTTTCTATTTTTCCTTCCAAAAAATATTTTCCTCCTTCGGGGCACCGTTAATTGAGTCACCCCCATGTGGGAGGGCTTTTCCTCTTCCAGTCCCCCATCACTGTCTCATTTCTAGTAGTTGAGCACTTACAGTACTACTTTTGAAAACGCACTGTTTACTGGGCATCTACTGTGTGGCAGGTTCTTTACAGGCATTGCCTGGCCTAAAATTCTTGAAGTCATCTTGAATTATCCACTCTTTCTCACACACCACATCTAATTTGCTAGAAAATTCTGTAAGGTTCTTTTATTTTTTTTAAATCTTTATTGTTGAAAGTATTACATAGGTCCTCCTTTTCCCCCATTATGTAGACTTTATCTTTAAAATATATCCAGAAATCCACAATTAATGCCTTACATTATCACCCCATCTGGTCTAGGTACCAGCGTCTCTTACGTGGACGGTACAATGGCCTTTGCTTCGCTCCTTGTCCCTTTCCAGCCTTCTCAACACAGCACTCGAGCGGGCTTTTTACAAAGCAAATTAGATCACTCTTCTCCACTGGCCATTGTAAAGGAAAAGCTAAGGCTCCAACAATGGCTTATGGGGCCTACACATCGTGCCCCTTTTCCCTTACTTGGCCTTATCTACTACTTGCCCTCTGACTCAACTCTGCCCCAGCATACAGGCCTCCTTGCTGTCATCAGCAATGGTTCTCAAAGTGTGGTCCCCAGGCCAGCATCACCTGGGAACGTATTAGAAATGCAATTGTTGCAAGCTTCCCACCACAGGCATACCGACTCAGCAACTCTAAGAGCAGGGCACAATAATCTGGGTTGAACAAGGCCTCCAGGTGATTCTGATGGATCCTAAATTTTGAGAACGATTGCATGGCTCGTTATGATGTGGAGCCAGTACTATCTGCTTCTAAAGCCTGTATTTTTGTCACCACACAGTGGTCCTCAAACTCTAACGTATATAAGAATCACCTAGAGAGCTGGTTAAAACTGGTTCCTGGGAACCTGCCCCAGAGATTGTGTTTTAGTAGTTTGGGATAAGACCTATTCTAACAAGCTGACAATTGATGCCAATGTTGCTACTCGAGGGCCCACTCCTTGAGCAACATTGTGAAGACAGTTGTACTTCTGCGGCACAGCCTTGGCAGCTAAAGTTCACTCTGCTGGGATTCTCTTCCTCTTTCCTGTCTTTTTCATTTGCTACCTTCATAATGCAGCCTCCACACTATCTAAAAATGCAACTTACCTCCCATATGCATGCACTCCTTTCTCCCTATTCCCTTCTTTAGTACTGTCCTTAGTACTTAACACCACCTAATACAGGCATACTTTTTCTCATGGTGTTTCGCTTTATTGCGCTCCACAGAGGTTGTATTTCTTACAAATTGAAGGCAAGACCCTCCACCAGCAAAAAGATTACACCTCGCTTTATTGCGATACTTGCTTTATTGTGGTGGTCAGGAACCAAGCTGGCACTATCTCCGAGGTATGCCTGTATGTGTTCTACTTATTATTTTATTTTTCATCTGCCTTCCCCACTGGAATGTAAGCTCTGTGAAGGCAGGAATTTTTGTTTGATCTCTCCTGCATCTTCAGTGCCTCACAACAGCACCAGAGGCATAACTCAATAAAATATATTTTATAACTCAATAAAATATTTGTTGAAGGAATGAATTATTCAATGTTTCTCTCACAATAGGTATTATTGTCCTTATCTTTCAAATGAGGAAACCAAGGCTCAGACAGTAAATGGCTGGAATCCCAGCTCTGATTTCCTTCGAGTTATTTGAACACAGTTTTTAACTGTGTTTTCCTTCTAATAAGTGATTATTACAGAATCATATACTTGACATTGATGCTTAGTTACTCACACCACGAGTACTTAATTGGGTGGATGCTTAAGAATGCAAGCAAACAGCCACAGCCCTTTCCTCCAAGGACCCGGTTCCAGTACAAGCATTTTGCTGGGTTACAGCTATGAGAAGCAGATGGAAAAAACTAATGTCAGAAGTCTACAATGACGAATCAATCACAACCTTTAAATGAATGTTTCTATCTATGGAAAGGTAATAGGAAAAGCCTTAGAAGTTATTTACACTTTACCAGGAATCAGCTTTTCCAAATCCTTTACAGTGAGCACTTTTTGTTGGGATGCAGGAAGTAGGATCCAAGGGTGCTGAATGGTGTTTGTGTGTATTAGAGTAAGGGCTGGGAGTGTACCGCTAACACAAAGCCAGAGCAAAACAATTCCAGGAGATTCACTAGCGGTAGTAAATCTTTTAATGGCTCATTAATATATAATGGTCCGGATGGTGGGGACCTAATGATAAATGAAACACAATCTTTGCCTTCATGGAACTTATTGATTAGTAAAAGGTATTGTAGTGCGTACCAAAATCATGTAAACAACAAGTGGGTACATAAATAATTAACTGTGGTGTTAGGAAAGACATGAACGAAATACTAAAATGGAGACTACATGGAGTGAGGAAGGAGAAACCTTAGGAAACATTTCTGCGATGACTTCCAGGCTGAGACGTAAATGTTAGTGAACCAGGTGTGCAGGGAGGCAGGCGTTGGAAACGAGCCAGTCCAGGCAGAGGGAAGGCAGGATGTGCAAATACCCGAGGGGAACGAGACTGGTGCTGAAGGAAGCGGGGCCTGGAAAAGTGAGGCGAGAGAGGCTTGAGTGCAACTGAAGACTTTAGCTGGACAGGGTCTCCCAGGACCGCAGAGCCACGGTACGAAGGCAGTATTTACTGTAAATGCGATGAAAAGATATTGGAGGGTTTGACTGGAAAAGGACTGGATAAAGGAGATGGACTTGGCTTTGGTTTGAAGTAAGGTAGGGATTATATTTGAAAAGCTTCTATGTAAAAGTATTCTAATTCACATGTTCCATTCTTACCTTTACTTTTCAAGTACATGGCATTTAAAATACTCCCTTTTAGGATGTCTATTACAACTTATTTAAAAGAAGAAAAATCTATAAACTATTTCCTTCTAGACATTTCTTTAACATTTTAAAGAACTCAGTAACTTTCTTTCTTTCTTTTTTTAATACCAGTATAGTTATTAGAAGCAAAAAGTGATAAGAAATTGAATTGCTTTGATGCCTGCACAGTGGTCTTTTCTTGATTAATTCTTTTGGTCATTTGGTAGTTTTTATAAGTTTTCCAGGTGAGCTTTTAAAATTAAATAGTCTTCCTTGTCCAGTTGGATGAATTTACTAGGTAACTAATTTTTAAAGATGAGTTAAGATTAATAAGTATCAGCCACATGACAAAATACTGCCAACATGCTTTGTAAGTGTGATCAAATCACTACTCCTCTATTCCCAGTGAGAGTCCATACACTGCACTGGTATATTGGAATAAATAATCATTATTCACACAAATCCCTTTATCTCATATAATTTAGAGTGAGAAGATGCCCTCTCAAATTTTAATAGCCTGAGCCCCTTATTAACTATAATAAAGGCTAAATAGTCTTGACTGACACTTGAAATATATTTAACTCTTATATAATTATAACTCAGTACTGAAATGCTCATTGAGATAAATGATTTACTATTTTACTCTGTTTTTCAGACAGTATAAAGTAGAAGATGCTGGCATAGTGTATAAAACTGAAAAAGAAGAACTCAAACATGAAAAAGAGCCTGGAAAGAGCATACCACATTCAAAACCATGTGTCAGGAGACGCCGTGTATATTATGCTAAATTCATTAACACAAATGCAAGAACATTCAATGAACCAGTTCCCTACATAGATCCCAAAATAGGGACAGAAAATCAGGTCGGACACATGTTCATTATATACAACTAAGATTTAGATTCAGAAGCTGTTTTGCAGGATAATTTAGTCACAGACTACTTAAAGGATGTAACATATGTCAGACTAATACTTTTTATAATCCAGCTAGAGGCCCGGTGCACGAAATTCTGCATGGGTAGGGTCCCTAGGCCTGGCCAGCGATCAGGGCCGACTGGGGCCTTCCGGCTGCTGGCTGGGGCCTTCCTTCCCCAGCTGCCAGCTGCCAGCCGGGGCCTTCCTTCATTCTGTGCCACCCCCTGGTGGTCAGTGCACGTCATAGTGAGCAATCGAACTCCCGGTCAAACTCCCAAGGGGACACTTTGCATATTAACCTTTTATATATACAGTGGGGCCTTGACTTATGAGTTTAATTCGTTCCGTGACGGAGCTCGAAACTCAAATTACTCGTATGTCAAATCATAAAGTGAACGAGTGAGACACATGATGCTGGGCTGATGTTGTGGCGTTCACTGTGACGTTCACTGCGCCAACTAGCAGTGGGGTATCTGAAGCTGGCTCATAACCCAAATTTTAGCTCGCAACTCAAAGCAAAAAATCAGCCGAGAAATGGCTCGTATCTCGAAAAACTCGTTAGTCGGGACACTCATAAGTCAAGGCCCCACTGTATATATAATAGTTTAAAGCAATAGCCTGGAACTACTCTCATATAACTTTTGCATATAAATCATATACAAACACACATATTTCATATACATTACATACATTTCATTATATATATTCCATATTTATTCTAGAAAAATGATTTAGATTCCTTCCATATATATATAGCCACAGAGTAGTGCTTGGAGGTTACTGAAGAAATATCTTCCATAGTATTTGTAACATATTCTAACATAAAAACTTCCCATGATACCTGATAATTCAGATGGTTTCTATAAAATAATAGTTACCATTTATTGAAAGTGTATGAAGTGTTAGGAATAAG